TTTTTTTTTTTTTTTTAAATTGCAGTATACTCGGTGCCCTCACCTCTCTCCTCCTCCACACCTCTGCCATCACCCCACGCAGCTCTCCGCCGCCGCCACCTCGGGTCCCCATGACAACCCCACCCGAGGGCGGGCCCCCCTCCGCCGCCTCCCGGCCCTGCCAGCGACACTTGCCTGGCAAGGGGCGACTCCACCTGCCCTCGGCTCTCACTCTCCCCGCTCCTGAGAGGCGGACCAGGACCCCTCCAGGCGCGCGGGCCCAGTCCCGGCTGCAGGCACGACCCTCACCAGTCGGGGACGTGTGGAAGGGCGGCCAGGCACGAGCTGAGGAGGTTCCACCTCCAAAGCCCAAAACCCAAACGAGTGACGCGGGGCCGGGGGCCAAATGGGGTACTGCGGCCCCGCGCCCCTCTCTGGGCTGCCAAGGGGAGCCGAGGGGCAGGCGCAGTGGGCGAGAAGGAACTCGTCCGTTTTCACAAACAACGACGCGTCGCGGCGGCAGGAGATGGTGGGGCCGAAGCTCACCTTGAAGGGATTGTTGAGATCCGGGTCGGCAAACGGGTTACTGTCGAAATCCGACATCTCTCTGGCTCTCGGCGTCACCCACCCGACCCAGGCGCTGAGAGAGAGACGAGGCGAGGCCGCCGCCCCCCTGCGCGCTCACGTCGCCGCCGCCGAGCAGATCCGGGTGCAGCTCGCGGGCCACCCAGCCGGCCGCGCCACTGAGCATGCCCGGTGCGGCGGGCTCCCGGCCGCGGCGCCGCTCGCGTTCGCCGTCCCGTTCCTCCAGGTCCGGATCGCACGCTCCGGGCTTTGGCTGCGACCGAGTAGGGAGTTGGGGCGTAGGAACCGGGAACTGAGAGCGGATGAAAAGCGTCCCGCACGCCACGAGCCCGCGGGATTCTCGGAGAGTATGGGACGCTTCCCCTCCGCTCTCAGCCGGAGGCCGGCTGCGTCCGGCCCTGCTCGGTCTTCTGAAGACCAATTTCAAATCAGCTCCCCGGGGCCCAGCGTGACTTAGGGAAGTGGTGGCATTTTGTGGGAAGGACGCACACTTGCCAGGTTGGGGGAGGCAGCCCGAGTCGCAGGCCGCGCACCCCGGGAGCAATGCCGTTAGACCATCGGACGCGGGCACTGGAGAGGCCACTGCACCGCCAGCCGCAGATCACCTCCCCAGGGCGCGGACGCGGCCGCTGCTACGGGTTTTTGAGCACTCGTGACCCCACCTGAGAATCCCGGCCTCCCATCTTCCGGTCTCTCTGACTCTAAGTTGCTGCTAAATCACGGAGAGCAGCCTTGGCGCTGCCGGTCCCAGCTTGATCCAAGGAGCCTGGAGAAGGCGATGAGATTCAGTCCGAAGGGCCGGCCCTGGCTGCCATCCTCCAGAATCTGCAAAATGGCTACTTCTTCAGAAATAATGGGAGAGGGATGGTAAGAGGCCAGAGATCAAGGCCCTCGAGTATTAACTCTAGCATTTGGGCACTAAATAGACACTTTTGGATTTTCCCTAGTCTTTTCCAACACCAAGGACGAGATGATCAAAAGATGTGTTAAGAAATTCATTTGTACTGGCCGGGCGCGGTGGCTGACGCCTGTAATCCCAGCACTTTGGGAGGCCGAGGCGGGCGGATCACAAGGTCAGGAGTTCGAGACCAGCCTGGCCAATATGATGAAACCCCGTCTCTACTAAAAATACAAAAATTATCCGGGGGTGGTGGCGGACGCCTGTAGTCCCAGCTACTCAGG